ATTTCCACCCCATTCTTCTCAGGACTTTAGAAAGACAACCAATTTTTAGAGCCCTTGCAGCTCTAAGCCTTAATTCATTTGTTTTTTCTCCAGGCTTCATGTGTTGTAACCAAGATTTGTAACCCAGTGACCTGAAATCTGTACAAACTACTTATGTATAACACATGAATATTTAAAAATGTCACATTTTTCAGTAATTTAATAATTGATAGAAAAAAATTTGTAAGCCACTTCAAAAAAAGAGGTTGGGGTCCAGCTTAGTAGTAGAGCCAAGGGTTCAATCCCTTGCACTGCAAAAAAAAAAAAGGCAACAAGCAAAAACCCCTTAAGAACAGAAGACAGTATTCACCACACAAACAAACAAAATAGCCTCTCACCAGATGCTTCATCCTTTTTCCTCTTCTTTGGCTTAGAGGCAGTAGACTCACAAGCTGATTCAGTTGATTCTGAATGGCAACTTAACTGGGGCATGATAGTCTCTTTAAGACCTAAAAAAATAAGATTTCTGAATTACTAATACCACTCAAAGTTAAGTGTGAGCCCCTAACTAGAGAAAAATTTATAAAGTCCAAATCACCAAAACAAAGGAGGGAGTGCTGGCCTGCTTTAAAACAAATTCCTTGGAAGAACTCCCCAAAACAGGTGCTTTTAGTCTTAGACCATTAACTTGATAAAAGGCTCTATAGGACTGCAATGTAGCTCAGTGGTACAGTGCTTGCCTAGCATTGGCTTAAAAAACCCCTGAATTCTATCCCCAGCACTGTAAAGAAACAAAACAAAACAAAACGTACAGGAGTTAATATAAAAAACTAAAAAAGTTGGGGAGGATGGGAGGATTCCAAGATGGCGGCTAGAGGTAGGAAGCAGAAAGCGACCTCCTATAGTGAATCTGGAGAGACGCTGGAGACACACTTTTGCAGGCCATAATCACCGAGAAAAGGCATAACTTTGACTCCTCCACATCTCCAGCCGGCGCAGAGAATCTCCACTTCACGTTAAACGGAGAACCGAGGAGGCCCCCGGGCCGCAGTGGCTGGGCGCCCAAAACGGCTTGGAAGACGCGGACCAGGTGAGCTTCGCGGTACCGCGGTTCCCCACAGAACAAAGCCTGGGCCAGAGCAGCATAGCCCCCTGGACAGACTGACCTCCACCCGGAAAAAAAAGAGAAACTGAGTACTAAGCAATAAGAAACAGTTAAGAACACGCTGGAAAGAGGGTGGGGCGCCCTGAGCGCTGAAGATTGGGGAAGGGAATCCTTCCGGGACTGTAAATAAACGAGCCGAGGCGGGCCGGAGAGGCTCTGGCGGGAGCGGGGCGCGCCAGCAACCAGGAGCGGGGACGCTTGTGAGAGGAGGGAAGACCCACTTCCCACGTGAACTGTAAATAAACACGCAGGCCTGACAACGCGGGGCAGTGTCGCCTTTCCCAGTGCTTGGAAAGGAAAGCCTGTAGCAGAGGCCCCCTCCCCCGCACAGGAGAACTCTGGAGCAAACAAAGCCTGTGGGACCAGGTGAGTTGCTAAGCTCACCCCAGAGATCTGCATAAATAACGCCGCAGCTACAGGCTGAGAGCAGCAGGCAGGCAAGCACAGTTGCAGATACCATCTCAGAACTGCCTCCAGACGCTTTTTTTTTTCTTTTTCTCCCTACCTTTGATGAGAGAACAACCGAATTACACCTGCAAGCCGAAAAACTTACTGAAACTGTATTGCATTTGAACTGGGGACACTTGTGGGGCTTTTTTTTTTTTTTTTTCTTCTGTGTGTGTGTGAGTTAGTTTTGTTCTACTTTATGCATCCCTTTGATGAGACAACTACAGAACAACATCTGAGGCACCAACTCCAGGACTGGAGATTGAGACGGACATCCAAATTATTAAGACTGAAATTGCATTGCATATAACTTGGAGTTTTTTGGTTTTTTGGTTTTTTTTTGTTTTTTTTTTTAATTTTCTATTTTTCCATTTTATTTAATTCATTTTTATAATAGATATTTACTTTTCATATTACTTATTTTTATTTTTTTTATCTGATTTTCAATCCTCTCTCTGTCCTCTATTGTCTGTTCAGCTTACTGTCGATTAGTACACTAACACTCCCTGTTTATACCTTTGAAACTCTCTTGTCTGATACCTTGTTCTGCTTTCTCCCTCTTGTCTGTATATTTGTTTTCCCCTTTTCTTTAACTTCTTGCTTTCCATCTCAGCTCACTCTTCCATTCTCAATATTACCATTGTTATTATTACAAGCTAGAAAAACTTAATTACACACAGTACAGGGACAGTAACAACACCAAGGACAATGACAGGAAGACAGAAAAAACAGGGAAACCAGTTTCCCCACAGCAAAAAATTAGTACAGGAACCAGAGGGGAATGAAGAGAACAGAAACTCAGAGCCAGACTCCAACAAAATGAAGATAAACTATGCCAAAGGACCCAATGAAGCCTACAAGAATAATTTAAAAGAAGACATACTACAAGTACTCAATGAGAATTTTATAGAGATGATACTGGATAGGGTCAACCAAATGTACAGGAGACACTCAAGAAATTCCAAGACAATAAAATAGAGAATTTGAAAAAGCAAAGAAAATAAAGGAAACCATAGAAGCACTGTATAAACACCAAAGTGAAAGAGAGAACACAATGAATAAAGATAAATGAACTCAGGACAAAAATAGACAACAATAAAGAAGAAAACAGCCAGGATATGGAAAACCTCAGAAAAAAGAACGAAACAGAACTGCAAAACAAAACGGAAGGCCAATCCAGCAGAATAGAACAAACAGAAGACAGAATCTCAGAACTTGAAGATGAAATGGTAATTAAAGGAAAAACTGAAGAACTATTAATAAACAACTCAAGACCTGTGAAAAGAAAATGCAAGAACTCACTGACTCCAATCAAAAGACCAAACTTGAGAATCATGGGCATCGAAGAAGGGAAGAGGTGCAAGCGAAGGGAATGCGTATATATTCAACAAAATAATAACGGAAAATTTCCCAAATCTAGAGAAAGATATTCCCATACAATGCAAGAGGCCTCAGACACCAAACAGACCAGATCAAAAATAGAACTACTCCACGACATATCATCATTAAAACAACAAGTTCAGAAACTAAGGAAAGAAATTGAAGCTAAGAGAGAAAAAACAAGTAACATACCAAAGGTAAACCCATCAAAATCACAGCAGACTTCTCAACAGAAACATTAAAAGCAAGAAGAGCGTGGGGTGAGATCTTCCGGGCACTGAATGAAAATAACTTCAACCCAGGATACTCTACCCAGCAAAACTATCATTCAAAATAGATGGAGCAAAAAGTCTTCCATGATAAGCAGAAACTAAAACAATATGTGACCACAAAGCCACCATTACAAAAGATTCTGCAAGGGATCCTGCACACAGAAAGTGACACCCAACTTAACCATGAAAGGCAGGCAGCACCAAACCCACAGGAAGAAAAAGCAAGACAGTAGAGATAACATCAAGTTAGGTACACACAATCAAACCTTCAAACAACTAAGATAACTAAATGCAGGAATCACCACATACCTATCAGTACTAACACTTAATGTTAATGGACTTAATTCACCCATCAAAAGGCACCGTTTGACAATGGATTAAAAAAGGAAGATCCAACAATTTGTTGCTTTACAGGAGACTCATCTCACTGACAGAAATAAGCATATGCTTAGGATGAAAGGCTGAAGAAGATTTACCAAGCCAATGGCCCCCCGAAAACAAGCAGGAGTACAATACTTATCTCTGACAAAGTAGACTTCAAACCTACATTGATCAAAACGAGATAAAGAAGGACATTCCATACTAATAAAAGGGGAAATAGACCAAAAGGAAATAATAATCATCAACCTGTATGCACCCAATGTCAACGCACCCCAATTTCATCAAACATACCCTGAAAGACCTAAAAGCATATATAAACGCCAACACAGTGGTTGTGGGAGACTTTAACACCCATTATCATCAATAGATAGGTCATCCAAACAAAAATCAATAAAAGAAATCCAAGATCTAAAATATGCAATAGATCAATGGACCTAGTAGATGTCTACAGAACATTTCATCCAACCTCTACACAATATACATTCTTCTCAGCAGCCCATGGAACCTTCTCCAAAATAGATCATATCCTAGGGCAAAAGCAAGCCTCAGCAAATATAAGAAAATAGAATAATACCGTGCATACTATCTGACCACAATGCAGTAAAAGTAGAACTCAACAACAAAAGTAAAGACAAAAAACATGCAAACAGCTGGAAATTAATAACTCATTACTTAATGAAGAATGGATCATCGATGCAATAAAAGAGGAAATTAAAAAGTTCCTAGAAGTCAATGAAAATGAAAACACAACCTACCGGAACCTATGGGACACAGCTAAGGCAGTCCTGAGAGGAAAGTTTATAGCCATGAGTGCATATATTAAAAAGATTGAAAGATCCCAAATCAATGACCTAATGTACATCTCAAAACTCCTAGAAAAACAAGAACAAGCCAATCCCAAAACAAATAGAAGGAGAGAAATAATAAAAATAAGAGCTGAAATCAATGAAATAGAAACCAAAAAAACCATACAAAGAATTAATGAAACAAAAAGTTGGTTCTTTGAAAAAATAAACAAGATCGATAGACCCCTGGCAAACCTGACTAAAATGAGGAGAGAAAAAACCCAAATTAGTAGAA